GCACAGCAACAGTGACCGTTGACCACATCCATGAGCCTGGTGCTCTGCCCAGTCCTGGCTGCACCAGCACTCACCGAGTTGGTTGGAGAGAGGCAATGTGAAGGTGGACTGCTTCAGGGGGGCTTCCAGCAGGATCCCACGGTGGGAGCCCCTCCCTGGAGACTCCCTGTCTAGCTGCGGGACAGGCAGGTGGCAGAACTTCCCCGTGGAGTTGGTGGGGCACTGGCATTCATCCCTGCCGATGCAGCGGCCTCCGTTCAGGCAGGGGATCTGGCAGAAATCTGCAACATCGACCCTCACGGTAACCAATGGTGGGAAAACAGCAGTACTCACCCTGTGGCCAGCCAGTGACACAGACAAACAGGGGCAGCAGGACCCCAAATCTGGATGGCTTCTGTAGCCCAAAACCCCAAATGCAAGGACTGTTCACAAAACCCAGGAGTGAAGAAGGGGAGATAATAACTAGCTCCCGCCTTTCTAAAAAGCCCTTTCATGCCCTCCCTTGCACCCCGGGAGACAGGGCAGTGGCATTAGGATGAACTCCCCCACTCCTCTGTTGAGGAGACTTGAGTTCAGAGAGGTTAGGGAGCCCCCAGAGTCGCACAGCAAGGCTGCAACAGAGGTGGGTGAGGACTCAGCTCTCCATGTGATTTGGGACAACTCATGGGGCCACAGCATAAGAGCTGTGGGCTTGAGTCCTGGACAGTCCAGGTCCTCTGGCCTCCCACCCCCTAGGGCTACCGGAAACCACCTCAGGGCCAAGGGACTCACATATGCGGAAGCCAGACTTGGGATCATGCCCATGGCCACCCTGGCTGTACAGGGTGGTGGTGTCTCCCCGTTCACAGTTATTGGCACAGTGCCCGTGGGCACAGGTCTGCTTGCAGATGGTGGGAGTGAAGACGATCTTGATCTTCTTGATTTTCTCTGTGAGGTTCAGCCCTGCAGAGAGAGGGCTTGGGTCCAGGGGGCAGGGCTGAGAGGCACAGCCATGACCACCAGAGCCTGGTTAGAAAGGCCCATGGGACTAGTGTCCATCCTGGGGACATTTGCTGAACACCTACTCAATGCAAAAGCCCATGGTGGGGCAGGGTGATACCTTTGAGAAGGTAATACACATCACAGATGTGTCCGCCACCAAGCTCACGCTTCATGCACATTAACTCACCCCTCTTAAGTGGGTATTACTTTAGGTTGAACCATTAGAAATTGCCATTTTTGTAGGCTACTATGGCAGAATCTGGGCAATTTTCATATGTCCAACCTCATATTTCCATTTTACACTTAAGGAAACAGGCTCAGAGAAGTTTGGGTCATGCCAGTCACACAGTTACCAAAGTGCTGCAGCGGGGCTTTTAACCCAGGGGTGGGGATGGATCGCAGCCCAGATTTGCCAGAGAGGGGAGTTTTCTAAGAGAAGTGGAGGAACATAAAGCCTCAGAGAAGGATTAGAGTCAGATTCTGGGGGCGATGGGGGCTGAATACTAGAATAAGGATCAGGCACATTATTTGGTGGAAGGCAGAGAAGCCACAGAAGCCATCTTCAGCAAGATGTCCTCCTGGCTATGGGGTGGAGGGTGGGCCAAGAGGCCGAGTGATCAGCTGGGAGGTCATGGCAGCAGCATGAGCTGAGTTCCCTTCATTTAATCAGGATGGTAGCAGTGGAATTGCAAAGGAAAGGTATTAATCCAGTAGGGGGAGAGTGGTGAGGGAAGCTAGAAGGCAGAGGGTTGAGGAAGGAAGGAGCGAGGAGGAAGCGGAAAAAGTATATGAAGACCTTGTGCTCCAGAAGCTTGACTGTGAAGGGAGAAGATAGAGAGGAGGCCGGGGGAAGCAGAGAAACGAGATGAGAGAGAGAGAGAGAGAGACTGGCAGAGCTGAGGCAAGTGCAGATGCTAAAGGCGGAGGGCTGAGAGGAACAGGTCAGAGACACAGAAGGGCGGCGATGCCTAGCATTCCAAAAGAAACAAGAAAGAAGGGAGGCGTATGCCTTAGACAAGACGGACATCTCCCCTTCAAAAAGGCACAAAAGGGGGTCATCAACCAGAGGAAAAAACAAAAGACTAATCATGCTACAACACAGATAAACCTCAAAAACACGCTAAGTGAAAGAATCCAGACACAATAGACATGTCATATTTCACTTCTATGAATGTCCAGGATATGCAACTCCACAGAGGCTGGAAGGAGACCAGTGGTTGCCAGGGGCTGGGCAGGGCGGGGGTACTTGGCAGTGACTGGTGAATGCATATAGGGTTTCTTTTTGGAGTGATGAAAATCTTGTGGAATCAAATAGTGGTGATGGTTGCACAAAACTGTGAATATACCATTTTCAAACCACTGAAGTGTGCGCTTTATTTTCTTTCTTTCTTTCTTTCTTTTTTTTTTTTTTTTTTGAGACAGAGTCTCATTTGTCACCCTCAGTAGAATGCAGCGATGTCATAGTAGCAACCTCAAACTCTTGGGCTTAATTGAGCGATTCTCTTGTCTGCTTCCCAAGTAGCTGGGACTACAGATGCCCACCACAATGCCCGACCATTTCTGTTGTTGTTGTTGTCATTGTTTAGTAGGTGCGGGCTGGGTTCCAATCTGCCAGCCCCGGTGTATGCGGCTGGTGCCCTAACCGCTGAGCTACAGGCACCAAGCCATGAAGTGTACACTTTAAAAGGGTTAATTTTGTGTTATGTGAATTTCACCTCAATTTTTTAAATGCTCAGGTAAAGACTCAGCTAAGGGAATGGTGTTCATAGGTTGAGGAGCCATGGGCTGATGGAAGGGAACTCAGGAGAGCTGGGGAGACCCAGAAGCTGAGGAATGGAGGGAGAAAATGTCCCTCCACACAGGGAGGGGTTTCTGGGCAACAACAGAGTGTATTGTGGTGTGAGTCCAGAGGTTTTTACTCAGTTTCTTCTGTGGAAAGCAGTGGCCCAGCTATAGACGCTAAGGAAACAATTGGTTGGGTTGAGTTGATCTAGGAGGTGTGGGGTTTGCAGGAAGGATGAGGCGGAAGGCCTGGGGCTAGGGAATTGAGGTTCATGGCTAGATATGAAGGGAGCAAAGACAAGAGGGGAGGACAGATTGGGCAGAAATAGGACAGTCAAGGGTTGCGATAAGGGCAAAGCAGATCACCTTGTATGGGCCCCTGAAGCTACCACAAAGCAGGTGCCCAATGAGTGTTTGTTGACTGGTTGGAAAACGAGGTCACAAAGTGACAACTCAGTCTCTCTGTGAGAGCGGAGGGGGAAGCAGAGATTTAGATGCCCTGCTCTTCTAGGACATGAAACAGCATCCTTACCCCAGGGAGATGAGAGGTGGTCCAGACCCTGCTGGGTGCCATCTCTCTGCTCAGGACCTGGTCCTGAGGGCAGGGCATTGGAAGTCAGCTGGCCACTGGCCGCAGCAGTTGGATAAAGTCGGACAGTTCTGGACGGTCCCACTTGCTGCTGGGAAGGGCGAGTCTGGCTGAGCGCGTTCAGGGTCCTGTGGAGACAACCAAGGGCGGCACAGAGTTTACATCCTAGAACAGTGTCCTGAGCAATCCCTCATGGGATGGCCGCCTCCCTGCCTTTGCCCTGGAGGAATATTCTCTGTATTGCTGCCTTTCTCCCCACACAAGTGCCCCTGACTTCTGGATATAGAGGTGCCCCAAGACAGGAGGACTGATCTAAGGCTGGCTGGTTAACTGTGCAGAAATGCCTGCCTTGATGTAGAATAGCCAGGCTTTTGCAGGGTTATTCTGGGCAAGTTACTTAGCCTCCCTGAGACTTAGGGCTCTTGACGGTAAAATGAAGGTGTTAGATTGTTTCCATGTATCTCCAACATTCTGAGTCTTTGAGAGGCCCTGCCCTCTAATCCAGTCCTGTGCCTATCCCCCTGTCCCTGCTTACCACAGCTCTTAACATGAATAACCCGTGGAATACTTGCCCGACAAATACACACTCACAGATTGATTCAGGGGCGGTGTCTAGAATCGCCCACTCTTATTACTTACTTACTTAATTAATTTATTTCAGAGATAGGTATTGCTATGTTGCCCCAGGCTGGTCTTGAACTCCTGGTCCTCAAGCAATCCTCTCAAAGTACTGGGATTATAGCCATGAGCCTATTTGTTTTTATTGTAAGAATATTACAACAACAATATCAAAGAGAAAAACATGAATTCATCATCTCCCACTCCAACACACCAAATTATTTTTTGCCTATTTCCTTTAACCTTTGCTCACATATATAAGTTTACACTATCCTCATCTCTTATAAATACAGTTTAATTTCTCATTTTTCACTTAGCCTTGGATCATACTTTATACAATTCCATTTTCATACTTGCCATGTCCTTTGCTTTGATAGTCTAGCTGAAGATAAAGCACAACTTCGTCACATATTCTGCTTTTACATACTTTGATTTCTTTTTAATTTTTAACTGTGGACATCCTTACCCATATTCCTTTAGTATATGGGAATTCATTGTAGTGTTCTATTTTGTTCTATATGCTTGAAAATTTTTATAAGAAAGGTTTTGAAAAGTTTACTACCTTAGGATGACTAGAATGATTATATCAAAGGTTATGAACATTTCTGGCTCCAGCTTTACACTAGCACATTGATTTCTAAAAGAATTGCACCAAAATGTATAAATAGACCACTTACAGCACAACCTTGCCAGCATAGCATATTATTAATTTTTATACTTTGCTGATTATGAATAAGCATAAAGTGGTACTTCAAGGTTGCTTTCACCTCTATCTACCTTTTTAATTTTAGTTCTAAGGTTGAATTTTTCTCAGGTATCTATTTACCACTTGTGGAAATTGTCTGCTCACATCCTTTGATGTCTTAACTAAGTTGCCTCATAGATTTGAACACATAGTTGTTTGTTATTGGGTAGGCTGCTCTAAAAGGTCCTGGGACACGTTTCTTCCTCCATTCCTGCCCTAGTTCTGTTAGCTCTGGATGCTCAGGCCACGAGCAAGCTCCTTCTTATTCTTTCCTAGCAGAAGCCAAACAAGGAGAGATGTCAGAGCCACTCGAACCACCTCAGCACCTACCCAGACCTTCCCCAGTGCCCTTGGCTCAGAACTGAACTCCTGTGAATAGTAATGCTACTGTTCTTCCCAGTACTACTTCCAAGGCCACAGACCCTTACCCTGACAGGCCGCAGTCAGATCTCACCCTACTTCTCGAATTTGGAGGATAGAGTGAGAAAGAGGTCCAGTTAGCCACCCCAGAAGCTCTGAGAGCTGTCATGGGCCAGAATAGGAACCCAAACCTTAGGCATCATTTTGGATGTCCCAGAAACCCAGTCCTGCCAAGGGCTTTTTTTTTTTTTTTTTTTAAAGAGAGAGTCTCACTTTATCACCCTCACCCATCACAGCTCACAGCAACCTCCAACTCTTGGGCTTAAGCAATTCTCTTGCCTCAGCTCCCAAGTAGCTGGGACTATAGGCACCCACCACAACACCTGGCTACTTTTTTTGTTGTTGCAGTTTGGCTGTGGCTGTGGCTGAATTCAAACACACCACCCTCAGTATATGGGGCCGGCGCCCTACCCACTAAGCCACAGGTGTTGCCCCTGCCAAGGGCTCCTAAGAGAGTGCCCAAGAGAAAGGTGGGTGAGCTGGTGGGTCACTGGGAGTCTTCCCCTGGGATACCAGGCTGGTGCTATGCTCAGATTAGAGCCAACACCACAAAGCATTCTAGAGAAATGAAAAGGGTAGCTCATGTTCTGCCCAGACCACTTGCCACGTTTGAACTTGACCTTGAAATAAAGCATTACAACCTGCACAAGATGGAAACTCTGGGTTCTTTCTTGGTGTCTTACTGTCATTGTTATGTTATTTATTCATTGTTACATTGCTGTCACTTGTTTCTCTAATTGGCAATCAGTGCTAATGGCATCAAGATTCCAGAGTTCAGATCCCTTAAGGGTCAATTGGGTAGCTTTGTGGAGAAGAAAGCCAAATAAATAAACAATGCATTCCTTATTTGTAGACTTGGCCGGGGCAGTACAGAGGCTAGAGGTTGGGATTTGGGCCAGAAAGATGCAGTTCTGTCTCTTATTAGCAGAATGGGTTTGAGCAAGTCACTCAGCTCCCCTAAGCTGCAGACTCCTCATCAGCAAACGAGAACAGCAATCCCTACCTCACTGGGCTGTCATGAGGGCTAAGAGAACAGTGAGACCATGAGATTATTTTGCAAATATAAGTCAGTGGTCCCACATTGAAATATATGCCAGAATTTTAAAATCACATGGGTGAAGGGGAACAGTTCTGGGTTACAGTTCATACTAAATACTTTCCCCCAAGTAAATAAGCAAATGTGACTAAGTCACTTAAAATTCTTCTTCATCTAAGGGAGATAAAAAGACTCCCCCAAACCACTTGTTATTGTTATTCAAGTGTCCTTATATATGAAGAGTCAAGTACCAATCTCCAATCTGGTGTCAACACACTTCTAATAACCAGAGTGTTCTGAGCCCTGTTCACTGTCATCTACTGCTATGATGGAGATCTGGGATTAAATGACCGAAATTAAAAATCCTTGCCTTTTAAGAAGCTCAAAGCAAAGTAAAGAAGGAAGCCCCAGTTCTTTGATAAATCCTCTGTCTTATACAGAAAGGACCCATAGAAGGAGACTGCTTTCTCCCTTCATAAGCCCTAGCTTAGTCCTCAGAGGTGGGCAGGGATGCAGGCTCTTGGCTTATCTCTGGCTCCTGGGTAATCTCCAGCTGGTTGCCACTGCCCTCACCATTTAGTAGGGCATAGGCAGCTAGGGTGGGGTGGAGATAGTGGGCTGTGGGGTTTGTAAGCCCAATCATCTGACCTTTGTGCTCATTGCTCTTAAAAATAATCACAAACCCTTAGCCAAGTCCTGGCTACATGCCCCATCCTAGTCTGAGTTTGGTTGTGGGACAACAAGAGAAAGGTCTAGCGTCATGTTTGGCCCAGGTGGTCCAAACAAGCAGCACTCCCCTTAAGGACAACAGTGTGGTGGCAAGAAGGGCAAATGAGAACCTCAGTGAAAAGGTGACTTCCTCAAACACAGACCCTGGGAGAGGCTCCATCTACTATCAGTCTTGGAAGAGCTGCTGCAATTTCATCAAAGGACAGCAGTTGCCAAACTTACCTGGCACAAGAACAGAACTGATTATCTCTGGGACTGTTCCAGGGAAGTCCTGGCCAAGCTGCCACAGTGGACCAAAATAGCCATCTCTAAACTTCAAGATTTTGTGGATCAGTAAAATTTTGAAAGAAATGGTGGTGGGGGGAGGAACAGCACCTGTGGCTCAGAGAGTAGGGAGCTGGCCCCATATACCAAGGGTGGCGGGTTCGAACCCAGCCTCACCTAACTGCAACAAGAAATACTGGGCTTTTTGGTGGGCACCTATAGTCCCAACTACTCGGGAGGCTGAGGTAAGAGAATCACCTAAGCCGAAGAACTGGAGGTTGCTGTGAGCTGTGATGCCGCAGCACTCTACTGAGGGCGATAAAATAAAACTCTGCCTCTAAAAAAAAAAAAGAAGGAAAGAAAGAAAAAAGAAATGGGGGGGCATAATATAAAATTGCTAACTTTTTATATAGGTAGGGAAGATATTAAAATACACATACACAACTACCAACATTGTTACCATTATGTCATGAAAGAAAAGACATTTCAATGCCAAAAAGAAACATTGGAACAGCTTAACTTTGTGGAAATCTCACAACATTGACCTTATTCTCTTCATTTCATTATGGACCATGGAAACTCCATCACTAACCAGCACCAAGCCAAGAGGCAGCCACTGGATCTCCCAACTTCTGCTCTCACCTGAGCACTCTGGGGCTCTTTCAACAAAATTGGGGAGAAAGAATTCCCATCCCAGCTGGCTGGGATCTTCAGACCTATGTGAAAACTTCCTGGGAAGTTTGTGTTCATGAAGGTGCCACTAAATTAAATGTGTAGGATGCGTCCACTTCCTGCCTGAGGCACCAAGCAATGGGGAGACACGTGGGGGAGGGGTTCTGTGCCCTTTACCCCACCTCCAACTTCACTCCAGCCTGGAGGCCCCACTCTACAAAATGGGCTTCTAAATACAGTTGGCTCTTTGTATCCATGGATTCTACGTAACAGGTTTAACCAACTGCCGATCCTAAATATTAGGGGGAAAAAATGACAACAGTAAAAAAAAAGCAAAATTAAAAACCATTACGGTATAACAACTATATGCATAGCATTTATATCGTATTAGGTATTACAAGTAACTAGAAGATTTAAAGTATACAGGAGGATGTGCATAGGTTATATGCAAATAATACTGATGGTTACAAAGTTCATGTGTAATTTAAAATTACACACTATTTTCAATTGCATGCGAACTTTATGACCACCCTGTATGTTGTTTTACATAAGGGACTTGAGCATCCATAGATTTTGGTATCTACAGGGGTCCCAAGCATAGCTCACTGTCCTAAGGTACAACTATACTATTTTGTTTCAAAAAG